CACAATTTCGCTATGAGTTGCACACAACTCGATAACACATAACAACAACAACAGTGCAGTTTGTGAGTCATAGCACTCAATGACACTGTCTTGTTCTATATCTCACTAGTTTTCTGCCTTTGACAGAGTGCAGTCTTACCAATATTCTGTTAATCATTTTAGTGAAAAATGGGTTTTTTTCAATTTCTCTAACCAAATTCTGCTTTAAACAGTTTCCGTATTTCAGTTTTTTACTAAGATGCCTTAAATCATAATTTTAGAAGAGCCTTTTACACTGTATTACTTGTTCTTTTCTAAATTATGTGTGTGAACAAATAGAAAATAGATATTTCACCCAGATCATTAAAACAAATATTTATTTGGCAAGGATGAAAAAGATGGTTGAAAATAATACAATGATAGTTTCTTTCTCCTACACTTCCGTGCAAGACAAGATATAATCATATGAGTATTTCTTCACATTGAATGCATGTATTAATAGTGGCGCAGGAGGGGAAGACCCTCTATGAGGTGGATTGATTCAGTGGCTGAGGTAATTGGGATGGATGTGTCAGAGGCAGTGCAATCGACACAGGATAGAGTAGGGTTTAGGGCTAGTGTACATAGGGTCGCTATGAGTCGCAAGTGACTCGACGGCACATAACAACAACTTGCATAATGATGTGGTTACTACTGAGTCCTCACTAAATTGGAGAGGGAAGTATAAACCAGAAAATCCAGATATTCAGACCTTCAATTATGTGCAACTATAGAGGTTATGTTGTTGTCGTTGAGTACGTTGAATCAGAGCTAACCCTTGGCTGATCTTTCAGCAGGTTTTCAGAGGCAGTTTAATCACAAGGGAGGAGAATACCCTTCCTTCTGCAGAACAGCTGGTAGAATCGAACATGTAGTTTTGGGATTGCAGCACAGTTTCTCACCTCTAGGCCACTTCATCAATTATAGCCCAGGTTGCTTTTATAAGTCCTTTGGTATGTTTATGTTGTTAGATTATGGGCCTGTACCACCATGAGGTTGAACTTTTGGCTGATTAAAACATGTGTTCATTTACCATTATTGTTGATTGTTGCCATTAAGTTGATTTCATCCCATGATGATTCTGTGTGTGTTAGAATAGAATTGGGCTCCATAGTTTCCAGTGGTCAAGTAGATCACCAACTCTTTCTATGAGGGACTATGGGTGAATTAAACTGCCCATCTTCAGTTACCTGTTGAGAGTGTTAACTATTTGAAGATTAGAAACAAAGGCTGCCAATGATTTTGCTTAATGACTTTGTCTTGATAACCAAATAAAATGTTTGTTGTTATTGTTTTTAGGTACCGTCAATTGAGAACCAACTCATAGTGAGTATGATAGTTGTTGTTAGGTGCCATCAAGTCAAGTACAACTCATGGCAACCCTATAAACAAAAGATCTGATCACTGTTCTGTCCTGCACCATCCCCACATTTCCAGACACACAAGAGCCCATAGCAGTAGTCACCATATCAGTCCACCTGAAGGGTCTTCATCCCCTTCACTAACCCTCCACCCTTCTCAGCATCATGTCCTTCTCCAAGGAATAGCTCCTCCAAACAATATGTCCAAAGTATGAGAGACAAAGTCTCATCATTCTTGCCTCCAAAGAGCATTCTGGCTGCACCTTCTCCAAGACATATCTGTTCTCTTGGTCATCCATGGGATGTTCAGTACTCTTGTCCAATACCACAGCTCAAAATCATCAATTCTTTTCCTGTCATCTTTATTCATTGTCCAGCTCTCAGATGCATAGCAAGTAATCAGAAAGGCTATGATCTGAATCAAATGTACCTTACTCCTCAAACTGACATCATTACTCCTCAATAATTTGGATAAGTCCCTAACTGAAGATTTTCCCAGTGCAGTGTATCTTCTTATTTCCTGACTGCTGGTACCAGAGGTGTTAATTGTAGATCCAAGCAAGAGGAAGCTATTGACAGTTTCGATCTCCTCTCCATCCATCATGACGCTGTCTATGGGTCCAGTGCTAAGAATCTTTGTTTTCCAAATGTTGAGATATAATCCATACTGAACACTGCATGCCTGTATCTTCAAGTCCTCTTCTCTTTCAGCAAGCACAGTTGTGTCATCTGCATAACAGAGGTTATTGACGAGTCTCCCTCCAATCCTGGTGTCACACTCCTCCTCATAGAATCCAGCTTCTCGGATAATTTGCTCAGCATACAGATTGAATAGCTATTTCAGGTATAGGTTCTGTATGAGCACAATCAAATGCTGTAGGATTCCCATTCTTATCAATGTTAGCCACAACTTGTGATCCACACAAATAGCTTTGCACAATCAATAAAGCACAAATAGACATTCTTCTGGTATTCCTTACTTTCAGCCAGAATCCATCTGACACGAGCAATGATATCCCTGCTGCCAGTGGGTACTAAGTGTGCACTTATCCCACAGCAGTAGATTGTCCATCTTTCTCTAGAGGAGCAACTTTTGTTTAGTATCATTTTTAAAAAAAATTAGTAGCTATATTGTAAATAATACAAGGATATTTTAAAGTAATATATTAAAAATAAAACTCAATATATTACTAAATGTGCTTAGCTTGGTTTGAATATTATCTCTGGGCAATGAAAAATATTATTATGACAATCATCAGTAAAATATTCATTTAGTGTCCAAATGCTTGTGTATTTTATTTTGTAAAATATAAATTAATAGTTAGAATATGTATTTTTATCCTTGAAAAACCATCATTAACATCATTATTGATAAAAAGCTCAAACTCATTTCTGTGGAGTAAAAAAAAATTACTCAATGTGGACACTTCCATGATTTTCAGAGGCTGTAAGTCACACATAAGGAGACTGCCCATCTTACTCCTGAGGAACTTCTGGTTGATTTGAATCACACACTTTTGGGTTGACAGCACAACTCCCTATTTACTGGGCCACCAGAGCTCACCATATGTACTGATCTATAGATCAATTATCTGCAGAACAATTCATAACCCAGACAAGCTTGCAATTCAGTTTTCCTTTTACAGATGGTAGATAATATAATTTTTCACTGGTACTTTGTAACTCTACCATCATTCCCAACTCCAGTGCATGACTCTAGAGTGGTGTCCTTATTTATGCTGCCGTCAAGTCTAATTTACAACCTACATATCTACCATCATTAATTGTAACTTTCTATTCCTTTGTGCTAACACAATTTAAAATGCTCTAATAAAGGTATCCCTTTAAGAGAATTTTCTTTTATATGCATATATAACTCATATCATCATCTTAAAAATTGTAACTCATACCATCATCTTAAAAAATACCATAGCAAAATCTTCCCACCCTTTATCTTATTTACACCTTGGAATGACCTTATATAATTTTATTTTATCAAAGTCAGAGCAGCAGTAATCTGTATACATATACCCAAAATTTAAAATGAACCTGTGACACTTATAACCTTTGCATCGTGTGCCTTCTCTATAGATCCATTTCTGTAGGGATTTATTTAGATTGTGACGAATTGGGCCGACACAAAAACAATCACAATCCTCAAAATGTAATCATGCCTTAGTGGATTTTAATCCCCTCTCCCTTTCTTCTGCCCCCTTTCTCCCCTTTCCCTTCCCCTTTTAAACAGTTATATATACCCTATTCCTATCAGCTAATTTCAACAACTGTATTATTCTTTCATCAGTCCTTCCCAGAGATAGTGGAGAGATGATAGGGGGTGAACAAATAGGCAAGATGTAGTTGGGATTAGATGAGACTGGTTGCTAAAGGGCACTGATCTATAGTAATTAATTACATAAAATATATGTTATTATATAAAACAGACTATACATGAATGAAACACAATATGAATTCTTGGACAAAAAACTAACAAAACATAAAATAATGTTAAAAATTACTTGTTTTTAAAAAACTGTATTCATGAACTTCTTTCTAGAAGTAATATGAGTGATTTTGAGTTAAGGGATAATTTTTCCATATATTTTAATTTTATTATTTAACAAGATGAAAATAAGGATTTCTGCCACTCAGCACATACATTTAACAAATCATGGTTATGAGAAAAATTAATAAGTGCCTTTTGTTGTTGTGTACTATAGGGTCGAAACTAACTCATAGCTGACCCTCTGGCACATTTTCAGAGGCAACTAGTCAAATGGGAGGAGATTGCTCATCCTTCTGCCTTGGAGTAGCTGGTGGATTTGAACTGCATGCCTCTGGGTTTGCAGCACAGCTTCTTGCCACTAGGCCATCAGAGCCCCCTAATAAGTGCATAGAAACATAAAATATGTTTATGATTTGAGAGTTCCAATTATGATTAGCATAATAAATGTGTGCTCCCCATTTGCTCTTATATATTATTTTCTCTCACTTTATAAATTTTGTTCCTATTCTCACTTAAACACACTTCTACTAACAAAAAAGGAACTCTTGTGGCCTACTGGGTATAGACTTGTGCTACCAACCCAAAGGCAAGTGGTTTAAACCCACCAACTGTTCCTCAGAAGAAAGATGGCAATCTCTTATACAATTTGCACCCTCTAGAGGATCAACTATGCTTTGGTTACAAATTAATACTACATAGCTACAGCCACAAAAATGCAATCTTTTTCAGTTAAAAAAAGTTAAGTATTAATGTTTATTTCAGCTATGACTTTAGTTCCTCAATTAACTTTTCCAATAACAGGTTTTAGGAATCTAAGGTTTGTAGTTTATCTTTATTTGAAAGAAGTTCATTTCCCACCACATATGAGTTATAGTTAACAACTTTTTTAATATAAAATTAAATCTTTTTAATTCAGTAAGAAAACATATGACATTTTAAATATCAGTGACAAACATGCTAAACAAAAATAGTTACTTTAAAAATTATGTTTGTTGATCATGTGTAGGTACTATCAAAGGCAGCATGTTTTAGGCAAAATTTCAGCTATGCTTAGCAATGTTTAAAGGAAGCTAGTTAGTAGTTGGGGGTAGAGGAACAGTGAACATGAACATTAATCCTCAAATCTTCTTCATTAATCTCTTAGGAAGGATTCCAGAAAGTCTGTCTATGAAGCTAATATATAAGCTTTTTTCAGGTGGTTTAAGGATGCACAGTAACCTCAAGGCTGTCTGTCTAAGTTTACTGTTTCCTAGAATCAGAATAAATGAGTGGCCTGTGGGAAAGAAGGATAATGCCAACAGAGTGAGCTTAACAATTATGTGGTCCTGGAGCTCAAAGAACATCCAGTTTCCTATTTGTGTGAAGACAGAGTGAATTGTAATGAAGAGAAGGAAAGAAAGCACCATTTTCATGGCTCTTTTATGAGCCTCTGTGCAGAGATCACTAGAGCCCATAGCATTGAGCTGCAGATTCTTGGTGTGTCTCAACAAAGATAGAAATAAAAGAAGCAATGAGATCAAAGACAGAACAGTGGGGACAAAATAGGTCAAGGTCAGAAGAATTAGGCTTTTAACATAGAACAGTTTAGTTTTACCTGAATAGAAAGTAAAATTACTTCTGTCTACCATATAGACATTCAACCAGAAATCATTGAATGTTTCTAGCAACAGAAAATCAAAAGTCAGTAATGACAAAGAACATATAAAAACCATGAGAATCACCCTGTTTGTTCTCCACTTGAACCAGAGGAAAAGAGAATGGGAAAAGTGGGCTATCTTAAGGAAGTATATAATGCTTACGCATGTGGAAAGCCAGGTAGTTAAGTGATTCATCATTCTCCAAAGTGAGCTAAAAATTTTTCCAAGTCTGTAACTGGCAAGAATATAGGGATATACGACTAGTATAAATGTGTCAAACAATAACACTAACTGCTGAAGAATTCTGGAGATAGCCAAGCAGGTGAGGATAAAATCAACTAAGGAGATCTCTTGGTTCTTGACCCATTCAGAACAGTTTACCAGTCCAATGAACCCATTCTCCAACATCCCAATAAGAAATTCTCCAATTGCCAGTGTCACAATGATTTTATCCATATCAGAGATCATTTTCAAATTTCTAAAACTGTATCTAATTGTAAGTTTACAGTCAAATCATTGAGAGTAGCATCAATTTCCCAAGTTTTTCTTCACTGGGTTTATTTTTTTTTTTCTTGCCTTATTAGTGTTAGTTAAAATGTCCTACTGTTGCATACAGTTTCACACATATTTAAGGAAATCTTTCTTTGCTTTTATTGTACTTTTTCCAAAAAGATCTTCTGAGGAACGTAGTCACACATATCTTCATGGAAATATTTTCATTTATTTCAAAGAGCTACTGATTTATAAACCAAAGAATTCATGTGTCCATTTATCTTTGAGACTACCTGAAATTTGTTATTCATGATAAGATTAAAAAGTTAAAGTCAAATAAGTTAGCTTGCAAATATGGTATAGATATTTCTTTCCAGTGATATATTTACATTCTTCCTCATCTGAAACACTATATCACTTTGATCTAAATATCTTTGTTGTTTTTAATACAAATCCTTGGGAATAATTTAAATAAGTAAATTATTTCATGAATATATTTTGTGAGTTTCTGCTGTGTGTCAAATCCTCTTTGCAAACTCTATGTAGTTTATTGCTAAGAAATAATTAAAAAATTAAGAAGCCCATAAAACAGTGAAAACATAGGAAAGAACATTGAAACAATAGAATAAAAGGCAGTGTGAATAGAATGAGAAAAGTGCCTATAATCATTACTTTGGGGAAGCCAAAGGATAATTCCAATGTCTGAAAAAATCTTCAATCCAGGAAGGATCAAAATAAAATAGAAGGAATACAGAGTCACTATGCCAAAGATAATTGGTCAACATGGAAATATTTTAGGAAGCACAATATGATCAAGAGCCAACGGTAGAGAAGGAAGAAGTTCAAGCTGCATTGAAGGCATTGGCCACAAATAAAGTCCCAGTAATTGATGGGATACCAATTGACATATTTCAATTAATAGATACAGTCCTGGTTATGCTCATAAATCTATATCATGAAATTTAGAAGACAACTGCCTGTTAATTTCTGGAAGAGATCTGTATTTGTTTTCATTTCCAAGAAAGGTAATCCAATAGACTGTGGAAATTATCAATGCAAAGAAAATATTGATGAAGATCATTCACAAATGGTTAGAATAGACATTCACAGAAGTTTAAACTGGGTTTAAAAGAGACCATTGTACCAACGGTATCATTGCTGATGTCAGATGGATCCTAGCTGAATGAATACCAGAAGAATGTTTATTTGTACTTTATTGACAATGCAAAGGCATTTGACTATGTGGATTATAATATGTTATGACCAACAATGAGAAAAATGAGAATCCCTTAATTGTGGAATACTTAATTGGGCTCTTGGTAAACCTATACCTTAGGACAAGAGGCTGCTGTCTGAACAGAGCAAGAAAACACTGTATGAGTTAAAATTAAGAAAATGTGCATCAGTATTGTATCTTTTTCCCACACCTATTCAATCTGTGTGCTGAACAAACTATTTGAGAAGCTGAACTCTATGAAAAAAATGTGGCATCAGAATCAGAGGAAGACTCATCAACACCTGAATTATATAGATGGTATAAGCCCGCTTGCTGAAAGTGAAAGGAGTTGAAATACTTTCTGCAGAAGATCACAGGATTCAATATGAATTACATCTCAACATCAAGAAGACAAAAATCATCACCCTCATACTGATAGGAAATATCATGACAGTTGAAGAAAAGATTAATCTATTAAGTGAAAAATTTTGAATAAATAATGGACTGCCACCAAATCTATCATGGAAGAAGTATAGCCAGGATTCCTTACAAGCAGGAATAGAGGAATTCAACTGCCATAGTTTGGACCTTTTGCCAGTCACAGCAATAACTGAGGATGGCACAGGATGTGCCAGTGTTTTGTTCTGTTGTAAGTAAGGTCGCTAGGAATCAAAAGTAAATTTGGCAGCATGTAAGCTAAATGTGATAAGTTTTTCAAAGATACAAATGACAATACTTTAACAAATTATCAAGTCTTTAAGCCTACATCTATCATACACAAAGTGTGCAGAAACTTTGTGGAGGATATCTCACATATTTTCCCATTTTCAAGTAAAATTTCTTTGAAATTAAGTATTCAACTTTCCGTTTATGTTTTTAGTTTTGATTTGTTATCTCAGCAGAACCCTAAGTTTTTCTGAGTTTATTGCTAAATATATTAATTTTTTCTGCTTGAAATTAGAGTACAAATTGGTCTTAGGCTTAAAAAAAGTAATCACATCTACTTTAATATTGAGCCATTACCACCACTGATAGGAATGCCAACATTGTTCCTTTCACCTAACTTTGTCACAGTAATCTGTTTTTCCTTTTACCATCATTATCAGTTGTACTTTTCCATGTAAAGCCTTGGTGGTGATCTAAGCTCTTGTTTGTTAACATACAAAGAGGATCATGATATCCCATCACTCTGTTTGCATCTTCTTTGTCTAACACATCTGTACCTGGACTTTCACCTGTGGAAGAGAAATTTCCACAGAATAAAAGACAAAAAATTACTTACTGTAAATTTTAGAGCAATCTTTCTCTCATTCTCTTGCTCTCTTTCTTACTTTCATATCATTTATTCATAATAAAAGATCATTTTCTAAATTTTATTTAAGGTTTTCAAAGATTGGTTAAATTGTAAAACAATTTAAACACCAAACTATACATTTGAACTTTTCCTTTACAATTTCTTGCATTAATTGAACAATACTCAGTGCCATCTAGTTGATTCCACAGAGACCCTATTGTTATTGTTATGTGCTGTTGAGTTAACTATGACTCATAGAAAACCTATGAACAACCATCCTACAACTTGCCTGTCTCTGTGCCATTGTCTTCATCTCTGAGACACTAGAACCCATTGCTGAAGTCACAATTTCAATTCATCTCATTGAGGGTCTTTCTCACCTTCATTGACCCTCCACCTTTCTAAGCATGATGTCCCTTTCTAAGGAATAACCTCACCTAGCTACAGGTCCAAAGTATAAAAGGTAAAGCTTCACTATCCTTGCTTCCAAGGAGCACTCTGGTTGCACGCTTTCCTGGACATATCTGTTTTTTTGGCAGTCTATGGGATATTCAGTACTCTTTTCCAGCACTACAATTCAAAAACATCAATTCTTCTCCCGTCATCCTTATTTATTGTCCAGCTTTCTAATGTGTAGTACGTGATTGAGAATACCATGGCCTGAATCAGGGGCACCTTAGTTTTCAAGCTGGCATCATTGTTTTTCAGTATTTTGAAGAAGTCTCTGACAGCAGACTTGCCCAAAGCAATATGACTCCTGATTTCCTAACTGTTGGTACCAAAGGTGTTAATTGTTGATTCAAGCATGATAAAATCATTGGCAGCTTCAATCTTTTCTCCATCCTTCAGAATATTGACTCTTGAGCCTGTGATGAGGATATATATCTGCTTGATGTTGTGTTGTAATCAATACAAAAGGTCCTTGATTTTCTGCATCAAGTGTTTCATATCTCCCTCAATTTCAGCAAGCAAAGTTGTGTCATTAGCATAATATAGGTTGTTGATGAGTCTTTCTTCAATCCTGATGCTATACTTATGTTCATAGAGCCTGGCTTCAGGAATTATTTACTCAGCATACAGATTGCTATAGCATGAGTCAAACTACCTCACAGAAATTGCAAGGTTATAAATCTTGGAAGAAATAGTCAAATTTTCTCCAGTCAACTGTTCATTAGCATAAACTACTAGCATTAATAGTTGAGCTCTTAACCATTGTGCCATCAAAAGTTTCTTTAAAGAAATGTTGTTGCTATTTTTAGGTGCCGTCGAGTTGACAATGATTCATATTGACCCTTTGAACAGTCTGCCCTATTCTGCACCATTCCCAAAATTTCTACCATTGTTACAGTCACTGTGTCAATCCATCTTTGGGGGGCTGTCTTCTCTTTCATTGGCTATCTACCTTTCCCAGCATTAAGCCTTTTTCTCAAAACAATGTTGATGTGTTGTTCTTAAGTGCCATCAATTCAACTAAACTCATAACAACCTTATAAACAATAGCTCTGAACCTTCCCCGATCCTGAGCCAATTTTGTTATCTTTGACACGCCTGATGCCATTGGCACAGTGACTATGTCAATTTATCTCATCAAGGGTTTTTCTCTCTTGTACTTTTCTTCTACCTTTCTAAACATGATGGCCTTCTTTAAGTAATGGCACATCCTGACAACATGCCCAAAATCTGTGAGACAGAGTTTCACCATCCTTGCTCCCAAAGAGCACACCAATTTCACATTGTCTAGGATAGACCTATTTGTTTTCTTGGCAGTCCACAATATATGCACTACTCTCTCCAACACCATGACTCAAAGACATTGATGCTTCTTGTATTAGCTGTGATAGTTATCCAACTTAAAGATGCAGAGTAAGCAACTAAGATGACTATGGATTGAATCAGGTGCACTTTGGTCTTTAGTGTGACACCATTGCTTTTATGAGTGGTCCTTAACATTAGACTTCACCAAAGCAACTCATCTTTTGATTTTCTAACTGCTGGTTCCATGGTGTTGATTTTGGATAAAACTGTTGTATAATAGTAACATAATGGAATAATAGGATGTGGAAACTACAGAACAATCTCACTGATTTCACATGCAAGCAAGATTTTACTGAAGATTATCCAAAAATGACTGGAACAGCACATCA